TGTGAACACGTTCATTCTGGTGTCTGTGAACGTGCGCTCTCTGTCAGTATAACTTTGTACAGTAGGGTGCCAGATATAGAGCCTTCCAGGTGCAAACCTGGCTAAAACACATGTAAACATGGCTTAAAATGTAGCGAATAACCACCCAATCTGGCAACACCAGCCACCAGTGTCGCACTGTGGCCGCCGGTGACAAAGCAAGGAGCGCCGCGGACACGCACTATCAATTAAACGGGTTTTATGACGAGGTCGGTGATGATCGGAAAAATCGTACATTTATGTGCAAACTTTGCCCGTCGATAAAATAATTGTTGTCTGTGTTTGTATATGGCAGGGTTCCTCAATTAATTTTTACCAAGGGCCAAATTCTGCTGACAATACAGAGCCAAGGGCCACCAACCACAATGTTATGACCTCAATGTTTGCTCTGCTATTTTTGTTGTTGTTGTTTTGTTAAAAAGAGTCACAAATCACCACATAGCCCAATTATTCTATTTTTATTTATTTTTATTTATTATTTTCTTTTTCAAACGAGTCTGTTTTATTCAAGAAATTTTGAGCAGATGTTAAAATGGCGTTTGATATTGTCAGACTTACAGACAGCCACGGTCTGCGTGCATAGCAAACACGTTGGCTTTGCGTTGTGGTGGTCAGGCAAAATAAAACAAAATTGTTCAGTCTATTCAGATTTGAATCGTCTGTTTTCTGTGTCCACTTTTCTTTTCTTCGCACTTGCCATATTTCCGTTGCGCGCGAATGCCTAGATACTGCGTTTGAATTTTTGCTTACACTGATGGTTACCATGACAACCTGGAAATGAGCGCGGGCCAAACATTTTCCTTTCCCATATACCAGGGTTCCTCAATAGGCGGCCGGGCCGCCTATTGAGGAACCCTGGTATATGGGCTGTGGCAATAATAATAATAAAACAAAAGCTCGCAACATATGAAAAAAAAAAAAGAACTATTCCACAAACAAGTGACGTCGTTGACCGTTGATTTCTCTTCTGCGCATGCGGGTCACTTCTGGGTCATTTCACGTTCACACAGGAGATCACAAAAGGTCGCATTTATTTGGAAATGTGAACGGCCTTGCAAAAAAATCGAATTTTTTCCAAAAATCGGAATTGAGCATTAAGCCCTGCAGTGTGAACGTAGCCTATGTGCTTAAGAATATCGACCCATGCATAGCTTGTTGCAGACATGTTGATCTTGTATAATTCAGGACGAGCAAAGAACAGCATGTGAAGCAAGATATAAAGATTGGTGGTGTTAGTTCTGCAGTTTCACCCTATTTTTGTAATTCCAAATTCTACAGCACTGAGGGCAATAATATCTTTTCATGATTTGTAATTTCACTCGCACGTTAGCTCACACATAGTACACAAAATAATATGGGATTATATCTTATGAATAAAAAAGAGCTATATTTTGTGACCTTTAAAGGTGGAATACCTAAGATTTTTGCATTAAAATATCCCAAAATCACAAGGCCAGTGTTATATATTTAGTTATGATGATAACTCACAATATTCCAAATGTTTCAAACAAAGTTTAAATCGTGAGAAAATTGAGATTTTAACCAAGGAAACGGGGCGTGTGAGCAGGGGTGAGCTGGGAGTCGCCAGTCAATCGCATCATATCCGCTTACCTCGGTTTCCGCTCGTACTACGTGTAGTCCTGGACAAATGCGGTAGTTGTAGTTGTGCGAACAGCGTCTATCAAGCAACAAACGTCAGCTTGTTTCGCGCATTTGTTATAGAATGGAGCAAAATTATTCTTTTCATTTATTCTCGGAATGTGAACTGTTGGCTGTAAAGGGGGTCACACACCGGACGAGAAGCGCCGCGCCACGTTTAGGACAACTCCACAGTATCGAACACTGGACACGCACTTTCTCATCAGTGTATGGCCAGCAATATTGTTATGTTTAATGACATGAAATGAAGATAATGTCTGTTCTATGTTATGATTGTACTGTACAATTAAATACAATCGTTGCTGAGTCTGCATTCTGAAAACTTTACCTCAGAGCATCCGTTCACTGAATGAATTGAGAATCTCACCTGAAAAATCTAATAATAACATCAGCAATTGTCATTCAAGCAACTGATTTCTGTAAATGACTGCAAAACTAAATGCATATTGCAGCATAGGGCGAAGTCAGGATCCATTAGCAACGATTTGAGACAAAAATAATTAAAATTTTATTTAAAACTATGTAAATGGCGCTCTGTGGCGCAGCAGGATTTTGAACACGGTCCTGAGCCGTCGCTGGGCGCCGCGTAGACGCCGAATGGCGCCGCCGGTATGTGTACACTTATAGATAATAATGTGTTCGAATTTTAAAGATGTGGCAGCTTCTCGTCCGGTGTGCGACCCCCCCCTTAACGTTAATTTTGTGAAACTAGCTGTGGTTGAATACTTACATGACATGAAAAGATGTGTCAAATGTACATTAAATTGATTTTTGATTTTTATAAAGTTACCAAGGAGGACCAGCCACGTCGACTCCTTGCAAGAGTCCTGCCCCTTCAAACCCTCTCCACCATAGCTTCGTCCATTGACTCGTACAATAACTAATTTACTTTTAAACCTGACTTTTCTTGCGGTTGTTTCAGTTTAATGAAAAACAAGCATGTCATTAAACGCAACGTTTAGAAATCGAACTTTACCTCATCCATGACAACTAATTTTCAATTCCAGTCTGACTGATTTATCCACGGTGGAGTTGAAAACAACAGTTCCCATCATTCCGCGTTCCTCCACGTCGTCATCAAGCAAAGCCGTTGTTGTTGTTTTGAATGTAGCGCCCTCTAGCGGCATCTAAATCTTAGGTATTGCAGCTTTAATTTTTTGCTTTTTATTTAACACTTTCCCATTATTTTGCTCTCTTCTCTTGCTGCTTGTCTTCAGTTCTGAGAGTAAATTTAAGGACCTAATTTTTGAACACACAGGTTTGAAGACATGCTATTATGTTATATTGTTTATTATTTCACAATTCTTAATGCCACTTTTGATAGTACAGAAACTAATACTAGGCTTAGTAATGCACCGACGTGAGAATTTGTGGCCAATACTGATAACCGATATTAATATGGCTGTTATGGTCGATACCGATATTTACAGATGTCGATATCTCTGCATGGAAAACAGAGGGAGGATTATGGTTGCACTATTTTTTGTTAAAAAAAAATGACATTGGGATATTTGATTTGTCTGCGATTATAAAAAATTTCAATCTCATCAGATGTCATTCAAATAAATAAGGTTCCGTTTATTAAAGTCTAAGAGCTCTATTTGGTAAGAATGAATCATTCTAGAATGACTGGTTTTGTCATTGAGTAAATCCGCATAGAAACTAATATTAATAGAATGTTAACTAATGTAGTTAACTAGACTATAATAAATGGAACCTTATTGTAAAGTGTTTCCGATTTATGTCTCTTGTCTTGAGTTGAGTGTTGGACATTCATTAAAGTGAATCGGTTCAAATGAGTCATTAGTTCGCGAATCGGACATTTCATTAAGGACCACTACACACGTTGTGTGATTATCCAGGCAGTTCAAGACATCGCACAAGGTTTGTCCAACACAGAAAACATTTCATCAGTAGATAGATTTTTTTGTAGTAGATAGATTTTTTTTTTTTTTTGTGTGTGGTTTGTCATCTGAATGTGTGGAAAAAGCTTTTCAGAGAAGATAAGACAATGTTATTTTAGCCCAATTCACAACCAGTGGTAGTTCAGAAAAAAAAAAGAGAGAGAGAGTGAGTTGTTACGGATATGTTACGTTCAATATATATATATATATATATATATATATATGTAGAAGACGGCGACCACGTGACCGGGGCTTTCACTCTCTGCTCATTCTCTCAGTTAAACAAGCGCAGCAGTCAGTCATCTACATTCTGCATCACTCACCGGTCAAAAAAGGCTTTGGTGGGACAAAAATACACCTCAGTAAGGCTGACAGAAAACATTGCGCAAGTTCTAGTCTTCTTGCGCTTTATGTTTAAACTGACAGTTAGTCAAACTGACTTAGTTGCACTCATAATGTATGCGCTCCTACAAAATCAAACTACAATAATGGCCGAACGTGAGGAGTTGAACTGACCGTGAACTCATCGACCTGGAGAGCGGGCGGGCTATGACACATCTCCTTTTTATTTAAAGGGGCCGCTTTGAAACTGGTCGCTCAGATACGCACATCAGAAAAGGGGTAGAAAAGGGGCTTGTGGAGCAATAATAATGAGGAATTCAGACCCAAGCATTGCAGTTATGTTTTATATAGACCACAACGGTATGATTTATATGTAAAAATGAATGATTTAAAAGCATGATATTATGTACCCTTTAAAAAACGAAAACAGCTGTTTGAAATTTCTATTCCAGTTTTTGGTTTAAAGTAGTACACCACCCACCGCTACACACAATTGCAATTATCTAAAGGGCACACTCCTTGATGAGCTACGTAAATAATTTGTTTTAGTGTTTTCTTTTTTTGTGGGTGCTATAAAAGCCACGTTTCCACCATTGGGCCAAACCGTTCTCTTTGCCTAACCATTTCATTTCATGTTGAGCAGCAATCTAATGCGGAAATGATGCAAGAGTTTACAGATGCTATTAGATGTAAATAGCAACCACGTTAAGGAGGATGATCAGATTTTTCTTTTAATTTTATTATTAATTTGTTTACGCTGCTCAAATAGCTTGTTTAGCCAGGCAACAGACAAGTGACCAATCCTAAGTGCCGATGTCACTACATCCATTCTATCAGCACGGTCCGCAGCAACCATGCTGAGAATTCTGGGCAGAGAACGGTTTGTAATCGTGCCGTAACAGGCTCAAGTGGAAAAATAACTGGAACCTTTCCTTACCTTTCTTAGAACTGTTCGGCCCAACAGTGGAAAAGTGGCTAATGTTTGCACGGTTTTTAACGGCATTTACACATGACATATTTAATCCTCTCTGTTTTTGTGGTTGTGTCTGATTTTAGGTCTCCTGATGTGTGTGACGTGGTATAGCAGCGCCCCATCTGAGGAGTGCTTCACTGCTGTCATTAGGAGCCCTTGATTCTCCTCTTCCCTCCCCTCTCCTCTCCTCTCCCTCCCCTCACCCCTCCCTGCCCCCCCTCCCCCCATCCCCTTCCCTGTGTTGCTGCTCTCGACGTCATGAGCATAGTAATCACACTGGGAGTCACCACACCTGAGACACCTTACACCGATATGGCCGCTGGATCAGAGTAAGTTTCAGTTATGAGCACTTTTTCCTCTAATGTGGTTCTGATGTGGGCTCCTGATCGGTGTCCTTTCTTAATCCATTCCATAGGTTTATACAGCATAAAAGTCTAAAAATTAGTTTGCTCGAAACCTTTTTGGAGTGGGAGCGACAAGACCACATAAAAGTGTCAGTACTACCTAACTGTATAAAACACCACATTTGTTTTTAGACAGTCACATAACACGTTGCATCAAAACCCATTATGTCAAGTTTGTGGAATCATAGGGCTGGATTTAAAAAGGCTTAATTTGCCCGGCTGAGCACTAGCCAAGAATGGGTTCTGGCACCAGAAAGCAAACTATTTTGATGGAAAAACCCCATTTTAATGAGGGTTGTTTACTTTTTTTTTTGTTTGCAAAAAGTAAACAACTTGGGTTGTTTGCTATGGAAGCTTATGTGTAGCATTATTCAATCTGAAATGTAATATGCTAAATGACAATGCAATATGTAAAATGGCATTGCATTTTGTATTTAAATTTACATTTTACATTACCATTCTAGCAACGTTTGGTGCAAAATGAAAATGAAATGACATAATTTACATTTGCCATTTCATACACTAGTTTTAATATGCATAAGTGAAACGCTTTATAAGTGGCAAAATTGAAATGAAAATGCATTACAGAAATGATTAGATATGTGTGACATATTCAAGCAAAAACTGTGGCAAAATGATCATTCAAATGCTATTTTTATTAATTGCATTTACACTCACAGTCAAGACACTCGCGATTGCATTTTCATGAAGTGCCCCGCAATGGATGTAGCAAAATTCATGCACTTTGAAAATGCAATCCGAGCCGACCACGCCCCCTCCTGGCCTGTCAATCACTGCATCAAGGCGGGCCTCGGCAACAACAGGTAAACATAGCATATGGCTATGTTACGTGTTTTGAACTGTTGAAAAAATTGCCGCGGCAGAGCTAATACGAGCGTTAAATCATTTAGCAGATAGAGTGGAGCGTGAACAGAGAAAAGGTAGTATTTCCGAAGATTATTACGCGTATATTAAAATATAATTAAGTTGTTGTTTACTTCAGTCCACACTGCTGCATTTGGCGATGTAACGTCCATGGACTAACCCCATAACTTACAAGGCCGTGATATCTTTAACTTTTAACCCATACATCTCTATGGACTCGCCAGGGATCTCCACAGGTGGCCTCCCCGCTCCCCTAGGCCTATCTGAATATTACAACTGTTCTTCCACCACCTTTAAGAGGTCAGCAGCCAAACGGGTGTCGGCGCCTAATAAGGCAGAAAATTCTCCCAGACGTTCCAACAACGTACTGTTCTATCACCTACATACACGTAATAATCTTCGGAAATACTACCTTTTCTCTGTTTACGCTCCACTTTATCTGCTAAATGATTTAATGCTCGTATTAGCTCTGCCGCAGCAATTTTTTTCAACAGCTCAAAACACGTGAGATAGCCATATGCTGTGTTTACCTGTTGTTGCCGAGGCCCGCCTTGATGCAGTGATTGACAGGCCAGGAGGGGGCGTGGTCGGCTCGGATTGCATTTTCAATGTGCACATTGAATTTTGCTTCATCAATTGCGGGGCATTTCGTGAAAATGCAATCGCGAGTGTCTTGACTGTGAGTGTAAATGCAATTAATAAAAATAGCATTTGAGTGATAATTTTGCCACAGTTTTTGCTTGAACATGTTACACATATCTAATCATTTCTGTAATGCATTTTCATTTTGCCACATATAAAGCGTTTCAATTATGCATATTAAAACGAGTGTATGAAATTGCAAATGTAAATTATGTCATTTCATTTTCATTTTGCACCAAAGATTGCTAGAATGGTAATTAAAAATGTAAATTTAAATACAAAATGCAATGCCATTTTACATATTGCATTGTCATTTAGCTTATTACATTTCAAATTGAATAATTGTTTCACCTTGGTTAAGTGAGTGGATCTGTTTCACTCAGAGAGAAATGTGAAATATACAGTGGACAAAAGCAAAATAATTTGTTTAAATTGAGAGAAATAGAATTACTAATTTTTGTCTTGTTTGTTAGCTGGGCAATGTGCAGACTTCATTGTTTTACTACATCCTCCATTTTTTTTTTCCATTAAACAATTTAAACATAAGATATTACCAGCTATCTTTGTTTTTTGTGCTTTGCTACCATTTGAACTGTAGGGAACAAAACCATGTCATTAATGTTTCAAGTACAGATACTTAATGTTTCAAGTACAGATACACACTAAAGGCCTGTTCACACCGGGACGAATTTCACGCGCGATATTCGTCGACGTTTAACGCCTCGTGACTAAACAATGGGCGCCAATGTGAGTGTTCACACCGACGCGAAAAACGCCACGCGTAAAAGCGTAATTTTTAAAAAAACGGCTCGGGTTCGTTTTTTTGGTTTGACGCGCCGCGTCAAAACCAATCCGACCAACGAGATTGGCGGGTTTGCTCACGTGTCTGGTACTTCTGAAGTTACAGTAAAACACAACTTGGGGGCGCTCAAACACAAAACGGTCTTGCCGAGCACACATACGGCGAAGAAGAGATAAGATACCTATGGGCAAGATGATGAGCTGCTGGTCTCGGAGCATAAAGAGCTAAATGATAATATTTATATTAGTATTTCTGTAATAATAGTATAGTATAGGGTGACCAGTCCTGTTTTCCCGGGACATGTGTAAAACGGTCACTGTGCTTTATTAGATTTTGACAAGTGAGGAGAGGAGATAGATAACCGCTCTGCCGACTCTTTGTATTCTTTCTTTTATTTTATTTTTCTATTGTGAACAGATCTTTGTTTGTGTTTTTTTTTCTCGCTTGATACCATGTATGAGGACGAGTGTAACGTTTGAGTGGTTTTATTAAACGCGGGGAAATACGACAACTCTCGTCTCTCGTGCATCTGTTCATCCGACAACTGCTATGTTTTTATCTCTGGGCAACATCTTAACTTTGCGTTACACATGTCCTGTTTCCACGTCCTGTCCTGACTGTTTTTAAGTGATGAAAATGTCCTGGTTTTAAAAAAAAAACTGCTGGGAAAGATCATTTCTCTACAGCAAAATATAGATGGGCAAACAAGGTGAATGAGGAAGAAAAACAAGATAAAGAGGACGAAAACTAAAGATATAAATAGATTTTGTTAGTTCGTTTTTGTAAGTTTGTGAGAGCTATTTTTTGTTACATTTGGAGGCATTTCTTTTAGTTATTTATTATTTATGTATTTATTTTTCTACAGAAGACATTTCTATCATCATTTCATTCGTTTTTTTATCTGTCATAATAAAACATTGAGACATGAATATGATCACCCTAGTATAGTATTCTATTATTATTTCTGTTTTACATTCAACTTGTGGCAGTTAAACTGGACTTTCGGTTACTACTTAACTTGAAGATATGCGCTGCGGTGCTCTGGACTGCAGCTGCAAGCCGGCGTTTCTTTAAACAGAGACCCTCATTTGCTCCTAAATAATAATAAAGAAGGATCATGTTAATTAAAAGCGAAATCACGATACTCATATCCACGAACCTGTGTCGCAGTGAGGGAAGGCAGAATCATGACACACCCCTTCCAACTCCCTCAGATATCCTTCCCGTCCAGATCCAATATAGCTACCATATCTTTACTATTAGTATTTTTTTTTAAGTTAAATTTATAAAATTCGTAGACTTACACCACAAAACTATTTGAGGATAAATTATTTAAAATTGGGCGATTCCAGTGTTATGGACGTGACAAATATAAATTCTCAGAAAATCCATTTAGGCTATTGAAACCTCTGTTTATATATCATACTCCATTAATAAAATAGTTCAGACATTAGAAAAATATAACACATGCATTTTATATTTGATAGGAGGGAAATACTCATGAGGGACACAAAAAATCATTAACTTTTTGGTGGCAAAATATTTTTTAGTAATTCTGTGAAATTTGTGAATTACACTGCGTAATCCTAAAGTAATACTACCCACCAGATTTATGAGGAAAAAACAATGTTACAGATGTGACTGTTCCCTGAAAGCGGCACCCAAAGACTAGTTTAAAACTTTCACAGAGACCTCAAACAGAAAGCACTGAGCCTTTATTTAAAGTTAATTTCATTTTGCATTAATTGTATCTTGATTTTAATCAACGTTTCATCTACAAATTACCAAGATTTAACAAATAAAAAGTAAATATAGCAGACAAAAATCAAGACACGGAGTTCAAATTGGAGTTCAAATTCAAATTGCGAGTGCAAGATAAATTAAGTCTCACTACCTTTAATGGTAATTGTGCGTTAAGCTTCAGGATGCGACACTCAGCCTTGTTTCATTTTCGACAGTTTGCACGTTGGTTTGCTGAAAAGATACTCACTCTTCCGTGGCATTCTGTAAATGTGGCGACGTGTGTTGCTGTGTGTAGCGCTGTCCATATCAGTGTATCTCCCGGTAGCCTAACACTCTTAAAGGTTTATTTTTTACCATTTTGGGAGGAGTCAAATTTACATGTGATTTCAACAACCAGATACATTTACACTTGTCCAGTTTCATTTGGAATGTGTCTCAAACCACGTCTTGAAGTGGTGATCACTCTAATCTGGAGGAAGGCCCGGTGGCCATACCTAGTGCTATCACTTGTTGTTCTACTAGAACCGTCTCGTTTTTTTGGCGACTGGGTTTCTCCTTCCACCATTTCATTTTTACTCTTTCAGTTCAACATGTTCAGTTCTGCAGATCACTATAGTGGATCTTAACTACTTTTCAGTTGAGAAGTGATCCTTGTGTCTGTGTTGATATGGGTCATCTACTAGTGCTTAGAACTGCCTCTGGTGGTCAGGAGGAATGAAACAACAGTAGTGGTTCTCTTAATTGAAAACTGAAATTAAGGGACTGGCATAGATCTTTGTCATTTTTAAAATGACAAGCCTATTTCTGCCCATCTGATTAGCACTAGTGGATCATTGCAGCGCCAAACACTGCCTCTTGTGGTCATCTGGAGTTTACAGAACCACTGTTACTTGTGTAACTAACTAGCGATTTATTTCCAATCATTTAAAAAAATCTCTCTTTCTCTCAGTCCTGAGTCAGTTGAAGCAAGCCCAGCAGTAAACGAGAAAAATTACTCAAGTCGCAGCTGTGGGAACACACAGAATCATGGATATGGTGGCCTGCCCTATGCTGTAAGTTCTTTTTATTCTTTATTTGTATTTTAACAGATTAGCCTATAATATAGAGTATGGAGTATAGTTATATTATGAGTTATTGTCATTTTAGCATCAATTTGTCATTTTAGCATCAATTTGTAACCCAGTGGTTCTCAAACTTATTTGGTGACCACCAAACCCTCCATTTTTTTTTTAATCAGGCTCCGTCTCTGACATGCATAATTTCTCTAAAAAACAATCAAATGAAAAAAAAAAAACTTTTTAAATTAAAAATGTGCAATTAAAACAGTAACACCTGCAATAGTTTAATTTTGTAATATCATTGAAAAATACAGTGAGAGAAAAATAGTGCAGAACATGCATTTGAATTTAAATAAAGAATAAATGTAAATGTTTCATTAATTCTTTGGAAGAACAATACCATATTTTCCCCACTATAAGGTGCACTTAAAAGCCTTTAATTTTCTCAAAAAAACGACAGTGGGCCTTATCTGGAGCGCCTTATATATGGATCAATTGGTTAACAACGCTCCGCGTTATTAAATTCACCCGCGAACTCGCGCTTGTGTCCATCTTTGTTACACAGCCAGTTCAACCTCGTATAAATCAGATTATGTGTGTAAATCACGTGGCCCGCTGATGAGCGCTCACTCTTACTAACAGACACACGAACAGACACACTGTCCCCGACGCTGCTCGCACGTCACAAAATGTTCAAAAAGCGCTCCCGTTCACAGTCACCGGGTCTTCTCATTCAAAACAGCCAGCTGTTGCTGTCAGCGAGCCGACGCACATTGAATACACATATGAGTCAGGCTGCAAATGTAAAAGTTAAGTGCCCGCCCCAGCACGCTCACGCTTTCTAAATAAACACCTCACCTCCGGCGCCGCGCACTCGCTACATTCCCTTTAGCACATCTTGGATGCATAACGCAAAACCAGTCAAACGTTTGACTGTAGTATCTATGTGCCTTATAATCTGGTGCGGCCTATATATGAAAAATGTTCTAAAATAGATCATTCGTTGAAGGTGCGCCTTATAATCCGGTGCGCCTTATAGTGCGGAAAATACGGTATATAATCAGTGGCTCACAAGCTCAGCTTCTTTTGTCTTCTCGACTGAAAACATGGCAGCAGAGCAGTGTGTTTGTAATAGCAGCTTGTTATGCTGTCCACTGAAGAGCTCTAAAGAACGATTCAGTGGAATTGGTGTTTTCAATTCCACTGAATTGAAAACACCAATTCCAATTCCACTTTATAAAAGCAGACAGAGACAATTTATATAGAGACATGCCACTTCCTAAATCCTCAATACAACTATATAGGGAAAACCCGTAACGCTAAAGATGGCGGTTGTATGCACATGCCCCGTCCCTCCCCCTGGAAAGCCAATCATCTGATTTTAACAGTAAAGCCGGGAAATATTTAAGCCTATCGTCTGGTTCCACTGACGCATGCGCACAGTTGATGTCTGCGACAGCGGAGATGAGAACCGTATAAAAGTATAACCTGTGTGGAAAGGGCATTTTAAACCTTATTTTGGGGCAAAGTCATCAAACTTTTTCAGCGATTTTTATCATATTTTACTGCTGTTTCTATACATAGACCAGTGAAAATGCAGTTCTGACTCTCTGCCCATTCATTTAGATAGGAACCTGGTCTTGTCAGTCCGAAATAGCTATCTGAGGCGTTGCCAAGATGGTGGCCAAGTGGCAGGACTTGCCTAAAAGGACTTTGAAGCAGAACAGCAACCACTATTCATGCTCTTAAACGCTGTTGCAGCGGCTTTTCAGTTTTTAGTTTTGTTTTCCCCTGCTGGGTGTGCCCCACACTTTGAGAACCACTGATGTAACCTAATAGCACCTAAGTAATGCATAGAGCTGAATCATATTAAAAAAAAAAAAAAACTCTTGCATAATGCTACTTTTGTTTTGTGCACATAATTAAACTGAATCATGCATTTATAATGAAAAGTGTTTATTGTATAACACCCATAGCCACAAACTCATTACCTCAATACCTCTTTCTTTAACATTACTACAAACCATCCTGGACAGGTATTATATTTGAATTTTAATTTATCAGATGCTTTTATCCAACACAACTCACAAATGAGGAGTTTATCTTATGCAGGATCCTACAATATTTTTAGTAGTGTTCGTCACTTTTTCAAAAATCAAGTTTACTTAAAGTTCCTTTTGTTTTTTATGGTTTCAGTTTAAGAAAGTTTAGCTCATACATTCTTATCAACATTTAAATACTGTTTACTTTAGATTGCAACTTTTTTGTTTTTTTGTTTTTCATTCCCACCTCTTCTTTCTTCCTGCCCCTTTTCCCTGCTCCCCACCTTTCATCCCCCCCCCACCCCCCTCTCTTTCCTTTACTCTTTTGTTGTGCCTGAACACCGTTGTTTGAAGATGCAACAGTCTTCCGTTGTGTGTTGTCAGGATCATAACTATGGAGCTCCACCCCCTCCCACCCCTCCTGCCTCCCCACTCTCCCAGACCATTTTCTCCCACACGGAACGCAATGGCACTCTGGGACGATCACGACCCTGTTTGCCCACCGATGAAGCAGACAACTCTGCCGACAGCGAGAGTTCATCGGAGGAGGAGGTTGTGGAGGGCGCAGTTCCACCTCCCTGGTGTCAGTGCCGTCTAATGCAGGATGGCTTCCTCATTAAGTGTGAGAATTGCAGGTAGGTGATTTGTATTTCAGATGGAACTGTGCTTTAGTGGTATCTGTAAAGGGCATTTTTTTCATCAACTATTTACAGACTTTTTTTGTCGCCCCCTTTTTTAGAACAGTTACATACCTGAGAAAAGTACAGTCCACTTCAGTCATGAACATATGACTTCACCCCATATGAAAATGCGTATTCCACTTAATTTAATGCAAAGCACAGTACATTTCTCAAATATATTCGATATGATGGAAAAATGTTGTGATGGCTTGATTATAAGTCAACATGTTCCCCTAAGCTTATATCTTACTGGTTGATGAGTCTTTTTCCACCTTAAAAACAAATAAATTACCAATGACAAAAACTTTAATCACTTAATTGGACTTGAAACTTTCTGTATATTTTGGAACATTTGCAGAGGTCCATGGTTTCATTTTTTTACATCTTCACATTTGTGCCCAGTCTTAAATGTCTAGGCTTTAAATCAGCTCTGTGTAAATGTAAATGGGCTGAATCATCATGGCAGTTATTGGTCTCATAAGAACAGTGGCCAATAACTTCACTGCGAATCATGGCAATTAGTTATTGATCTAATGGATGGAGAATCTGTACTGAATGTGTTCTTATTGCAGGGGTCTGGAGAAGAAGAAAGGGATAGACGGGCAACGCAGAAAAGGAGAGAATTTTTCAGGTAAAAGTGGCTGTTTCTCAATTCCAAGAACACAAAGAATGGACTCACGTTCTAGTGGAAATCGGCCATGCCAGGCTACCTTGAAAGAACAAACTCGGAAGGACGGAACGCATCCTTGTGAGAATTGAGATGTGCTGCAACTGACCTTCCCAGGATGTTATAAGTAGTGGCCAACGCACAATATACAACCTAACACCACAAACAAATGTCAATGCCTATTAAAACATTTTACATATTTTTATAGACATTATTTCCATAGTATATTATATAGCTTTAATTTACCATCTATTTGTGAAAATTAGTGTGTTTGTTTAAAGGAGTAGTTCACCTAAAAAGGGAAATTCTGTCATTTTACTCACCGTCAAGTTGTTTCAAACCTGTGTGAATTTCTTTCCTCTGTTGAACAGAGAAAGATATTTTGAAGGATGTCAGTAACCAGACAGTTGATGGACCCCATTGACTTCTAGAATAGGAAAAAAAATGCTATGGAAGTCAGTGGGGTCCGTCAACTGTCTGGTTACAGATATTCTTCGAAATCCCTTCCTTTGTGTTCAACAGAAGAGAGAAATTTACACAGGTTTGGAACAACTTGAAGGTGAGTAAATGATGACAGAATTTTCATTTTTAAGTGAACTAATCCTTTTTATTTCATATAGGATGCTTTTTCAATCAACCATACATTATCCTGAAAACAACTGTCCGTCACTAATCAACACTGATAATAGCGATAAGTCATGTCACTTTTATTTCCATAACGCTTTTTACAATACAGACTTTTTTAAAGCAGCTTTACAGTGATTTACCAAAAAAAATATGCAGAGTTCAATTCTGCTGTGAAGCAGCTCTAAAAAGAGTGTCATTATTCAGCTAAAGTCAGTTCTTCAGTTCCGTTGTGAGGATCATCAATTAGTTTGATTCAGCTATAAAGCAGCTCTGCAGAGAACAGTGATGTCATCATCCAGCTCATTTCAATTCTCAGTCTATAGTGTTCGTGCTATCAAATCAATATAATATTGTTGAATATTGAGTAGTACCAAATATAATTACAATTACAGCTGAACAGATGAATGTAATTTAGTATGTAAAATGAAATTTAGAAGTCTCACTTCTCTATTTTGACATTTCTGACAAAATGTGGAGTGAAGTTTAAGGGTTTTTCTGGGTATTTCTCTTTTATATCTCTACATCAGTGATGCGCGGGTCAATGTATAAACAACCTGCAACCGACCGTGGTTTTCAGTTACCCGCCCGCAACTCGGGCCGCAAAAAAAAGTAAAAAAAATATTGTACCCGACCCGCTTCCTGACCGCATTTTTTAAAAGTAGTAAATGCTCATCGGAGCGTTATTGGGCCATAGACGTGTAACAACACAGCATCGCAAGAAGACGTAGGCCTACACATAACAAAGGCAAAGCCAGCACTTTGGTCATCATCTTTTATTATTTCAGCAAATGTCTCCCACACTTTTACTCTTTCTATTTGTGTATTTGCGGAGCTTCCACTCCCCAGTCTTCACCTTTTCTCTTGCCGCCTTCATCTCTCTGCAGACTGTAGACATGGCCGGTTCTTTTTAGTGAACCGGTCGAACCAGTACACTAAATCGAACTGAATCGTTCGAAACGGTTCGCGTCTTGCGTCAGTGCTGATCCACAAGTTACTAAGTTATACTCACTTTCAGACATGCCTGACAGTCGCCTACGAATCGAAATAAATCAATATCCTGAATTACATTTTACTCCAGTAACTCCAACAGTTCACTGAACCGAGACATGT